ACAAGGCTGGGCGAAAAGAGCCCTGCGAGGCAGATGGTCTTCTGGGGTGCGGCGTTCGTATCCTAACCAACGTAACCTACGAAGCGTGAGTAATTTATCTACCGTAGGAGAGTTCCTTCTTACTACAACGAATAAGCACCGTTTACCCCATCGACTTGTATTGATCTTAATTGAGCCAGGCAACCGCACAGCGCAAAGACTTCTGTTTACCGGGATTCAGCCCAGTAAGACACTTCCAGCCTTGGAACTGAGTGTAACTCCCACACCGTGGGTACCACGAGTCATTGAGTCAGGATCACCGGATACCCGAGCAGTGAAATGTGGGACAACCAAGTTCGTCCCAAGCTGCTCGAGGTGCGCGGCCGAAGTGGGGTTTCGTACGCATGTTTCGGGGACACAACATATATCGACGGAGGTTTCAACAAGGGACGCCTGTTACCTCATTTGTCATAGAGTATGGATATTAAAGGCTGCAGCGTGGATCAGATCTTTTGAGGTTAGTAGGTGATCATCTTAGTTTATTTTCTGGGCGGACGACGGAGGTTTCAACAAGGGACGCCTGTTACCTCATTTGTCATAGAGTATGGATATTAAAGGCTGCAGCGTGGATCAGATCTTTTGAGGTTAGTAGGTGATCATCTTAGTTTATTTTTCTGGGCGGAGATTTAGACACGGAATAGTGGTTAGGGGATTGCTAGATGGGCTGATTGATGGATGGGGAGGGAGTGTGGGCTAAGGCCGGTGAGTGAAGAGCTGCAAGAACAAATGTTACTTCCCAGGCTGAAGAAGGGAGTTTAGTTGAGGTACCCCACCTTGAGCCTTTGACTCAAAAGTCTGACCGACGAGGCAGTGGGGGGTTTCGAGTCTTGTTCGAGAACCCTGCCCCTAACTTCTGACTCAAACTTTTGACCCGTGAAGCAGTGGACAGTAGGTTTTTTTTGGGACCCTGTCAGGAGCCGATGACTCAATAGTCTGGCTCACTTGGCTGTATGGGGCCGGCCTGGTCCGAGGACGCATGAAGTAAGACATTGTTGTCTCACTTCTAATGCACCTACATAAAGCAGGTGCCTTTTGATCAGCACCGGACTCTGGTTTTGAAAGTTTTTCGACCGTGTTGAAATAATGCGCTGGCGGTCACGGTCAACCGTTGTGCGATCGGAGTGTGGGCGTTTTAGAGCCGACCTTTTCCAACCCGTTCTCCCTTGGGGGAAGGCAGCATCGTTGTTTCCATAAATATGGGCATGCTGCTCTCCTAGAAAAGCCTTACTGCCTTCACACTCCTGTCGCAGAGGACAGTACAACTTCACATCCAGACCGTTTCGTAATACTATTGCTTGCTGTTCTTTGTCCGGCTGTTTCTTTCGTTGGCCTACCTGACATGGTTAAACCTCTTGGGACTGATTTTCAATCATTATGACCCGTTTGATCACTGCAGCAGAGAAGCCCGACAAAGTGACAGCTTTAGGTCGGGAGTAAATATGGAACGCTTCACGATATCGCGTGTCTATCTGTGCTCACCATAAACTGTTTCTGACTAACACGAATCTTCAACACAAGCTCGCACGGCGTAACCTGGTTTCCACTAAGTGCAAATCAACGGTGCGCCCATTTGGATCACGTGGCCATCAGTGACCGATGGAGAGCCATAATTCAGGACTGCCATTCCTTGTGGGTTATTCCTTCCCTCCACACTGCGAGCACCTCTGACGGTTTTCTTCGTGCCCTCGCAAATATTGCAAGTCTTGGATCATGCAAAGGGAACTAAAAGCTCACCTAGTGGCGGCATACACTTTGCGGAGACAGTCTTCCTGTTTTCTTGTCTCACGATGTGTTGGTAAACGACATAGTGAAGAATATAGCGACTAGCGTGAAAGTGAGCTTGCGATCTGATCGTGAAGTATGGTGGACACAGAAAGCCAAAGAAATGGCAGAGGCCCAGAAAGCCGGTAATACCCGGAGATTATTTCAGTTGATCCGTGCGACCGGTCCCCGGAAACCACCTGTGAGCGAAACCATCAAACATCAGAATGCAACGATCATCTCGAATAAGGAGGAACGCCTCCACCGGTGGGCCGAATACTTCAAACAACATCTGTCGTGGTCACCAGCCGACACTCATCTAGAGCCCACAGGTGAAGTAGAACCCTGGACAGTGAACGTGGAACCACCTACGGCCTATGAGGTTTACGACTGCATATGTTCTCAAGCGCCATCGAGCTCCAGGTTCGGATGACCATCTAACCGCACTGTTCAAAGACGTGGGTGAAGTCCTCAGTCAGCGCTTGTCCGATCTGTTTGCTTGCATTTGGGAAAAGGAGTCTGTCCCAGACAACTGGGGAGAAT